CAGATATTAATTCGTACACCTACAAACACTTAATTTTTGACAAAAAAAGAAAAATATATAAAATGGAAAAAAGAGAGTGTACTCCATAAATGGTGCTGGCATAATGACATCAACATGTAGAACAATGAAAATAGATCCATATCTATTGCCATGCACAAAACTGAACTCAAAATGGTTAAAAGACCTCAACATAAAGCCAAATGCACTGAACCTCATAGAAGAGAAAGTGGAAAGTATATTTGAATGCATTGGCACAGGAGACCACTTCTAATTGTAACCCCTGTAGCACAGACACTGAGAGCCACAGTAAATAAATGGGCCTCCTGAAACTGAGAAGCTTCTGTAAAGCAAAGGACATGGTCAACAAGACAAAGTGGCAGCCTACAGAATGGGAAAAGATCTTCACCAACCCCACATCAGACGGAGAGCGATCTCCAAAATATAATAAGAACACAAGAAATTGGTCATCAGAACCAGTAATTCAATAATAAATGGGGGTATAGACCTAAACAGAAAGACACACTTAAGGAAATGTTCAACATCCTTAGCCATCAGAGAACTGCAAATCAAAACAACTCTGAGATTTTGTCTTACATGGGTAAGAACGGTCAAGATCGAAAACACTGATGACAGCTTATGCTGAGAGGATGTGGGGTAAAGGGAACATTTCTTCATTGCTGGTATGGTGCAAACTGGTGCAGCAGCTTTGGAAATCAGTATAGTGATTTCTCAGAAACTTAGGAAACAATCTACCTCAAGACACAACAATACCACTTTTTGGTATATACCCAAAGGATGCTCAATCATACCACAATGAAATGTGCTCAACTATGTTCATAGCAGCAACATTTGTCATAGTCAGAAACTGGAAACAACCTAATTGCCCCTCGACTGAAAAATGGATAAAGAAGATGTGGTACATTTACACAGTGAAGTACTACACAGCAGAAAAAATAATGACATCTTGAAATTTGTGGGGAAATGGATACAACTAGAAAACATCATATTGACTGAGGTAACTGAGACCCAGAAAGACAAATATAATATGTACTCACTCATGATTGGCTTTTAGACATGAAGCAAAGAAAAACCAGTCTGCAATTCACAATCCCAGGAACCTAGACAACAAAGAGTACCCTTAGAGACACTTACATGGGTCTAATCTACATGCGAAGTTTAAAAAGACAAGGTCTGCTGAGTAAATTGGCAACATGGGAATCATGGAGAGGGTAGAAGGGGCGAGCGGAGGAAGTGAGGGGAGCAGATAAAAATATGTAGCTCAATAAAAACAATAAAAAAGTGTAGAAAAAAATCTAAAGACATGTGTTAGCTGAGGGAACTCTGGAATGAGGCTTGGGCTGATGCAGCATTTAGTAAAGTTACAAAACATGAAGTCCTGTGTGATAGATGAGGGAACTCTGCAAGGAGACTTGAGGTCTGGGGAAGAATGAAGGGAGGGAAGTACAAGGTGGAGCCCATGGATAAACCCTTGGTGTAATAACTAGTGTACGTGCTGCTGTATGGCTCTCGAGAGCAACAGGGTGGCCACAGGATCTGAGTCTGTGACCATTCAGTTCCCAATCCAGAGGGATGATGTATTTTATCTTAACGGTTGTCTTATACTAAAAAAAAATTAAAGAAGATTTTTGTTAGTTTGTTCTTAAACAAATCAATGAGACCATCTTGGGTGGAGGGAGGGAATTTAGTCCATCAGTGTGTTATAGACTTTTCTTTTTGGAGAGCAGAAATATATAAATAAGAATGAAATAAAACATGGAGGAAACCATCCAGATGCTGGGTTTGGGAGGGGATAAGGTAAATAAAGGAGCAGCGGGAGAAATGAATTACCAACCAGAAGGAGTTGGACTATATTTTTGAAAGGCTGGGCGAGTGGAGCACACACCTTTGGAAGGAAAGTGTGGAAGACAAGAAAAAAGCAAGTGGGACCTGGAGTTAGCCATTGAAGTGGGCGACAAAGCCAAGGAGCCAGTGGCTCCCAAAGCTGGCAGCACCCAGCTGTTGTGCAGGGGCGAGGCAGGAATGGGGCGCGGGGGAGGGCAGTAAGACAAGCGGCTCTGGAGTTGCGTGCTGAACCTGGGGTTGCCAGAGCAGCACTGGGCTGATAGAGATCCTTGGGCCTTGTGCACCCTTGCCTGGTTGTGAGCCAGCCTCCTTGACCACCAGGGAGTCCTGTAGTCTCCGTTCTTCTCTGCTGCCACCTCCTGGTGGTGCTGGGAAGCCCTGTGCGTCCTCAGGCGGCAGTAGCAGCCCACGGCAATGGCCTCAGGGGAGCCAAGCCAAATTAGCCCAGCAATGTATTTCAGCGGAAGAGGCGAACAGCTCCACCTCCAGGCCTACCTGGAACTGCCCGGCAAAGCCTTCACCCTACAAGTGTGGCTGTGAGCTGAGGTGCACTGAGGTCTCCAACAGGGTCACAGGTAAGGCAAAGTGGGTCCCTCACACTCCTGCAGATCACCCCGCTTCTCTTCCTGGGCCCTTGCTTGGGGATGTCTGGAGTGGAGATGCTAGGTGGGTCTCAGTGAGCCGCCCCTGGAGCAGAGTAGGGAGGCAAGTTTGGTGTGCAGACAGACTCTATTTCTGTACGGGAGAAAGGGGAACATGACCCAGTTTGGTTGCATTTGTGAGGTAACAAGCCACAAGTCTCGTGGTAAAATAAGACTTGTAGGATTGTGTTAATTTATATGTCGAGCTAGCCAGTAGGAAGCCTGAGCCATCAGCGAAACAGTCTGTAATTAATATTTAAAAAAAAGAAAGAAAAGAAAAATAAGAAGAGGTGAGGGGACCATTAATTTCTCTTTACTTTTTTCATGGAGATAATTTGTCATTACCCTCCTACTCTGCAAGTCGGCAGGGACCACGATATTGTGATTGCTAGATTAAGAACTCCTACAAGTACCCCAAAGTTGCTCTCTGACTGATACTTGCCTTGGGGATACACATCCCATCACCATAGTCATCACACTGCCGTTCTTGGTTCTTGGTCTCAAAGCTGGTTGCCTGTCATTTGTGCCTGTGACTGATCCTCTTAGTGCATATTCTGGCAGCCTTCCCCAGACTCAGCTGAGTTTTGGAGCGCTTTTCTCTTTGGAGATTTTGATGAGCTCATAATGAATTTAAGTTCTCCTTCTTCACCCTCTCTCTCTCCCCTTCCCTGATCCACAGCAAGGCTCATAGTGAAACCGGACACTCTGCAAGCCAGTGCTGTGAACTTTGCAGATGCTTGAGAATCTATTTTCCTTTCTAAATAAATCTGTGGAGATCCCTTCAATAAAGCCAGGGTGGTGGATGGAGCGACCCTGGAGGAGAGAAGCAACATTTTGACTTTTCTGTCTCTGGGAGATCCCCTCACGGCATTAACAAACTTGCCTGTCCGAGGACCTCTTAAAGCTAGAGAAGGGGATGCCCATTCCCTGGAGATGGGAAGCAGAAGAGGCTTTCTCGATCTCCTCCTATCCCTTACACACCTCTCTCAGGTACTCTGTTGCTGTTGTTTGTTTGGTTTTTGGCTTTTGTTTTTCCTTGGCTTCCACCATTCTTATCACTGTGCTGAGTTTCCTACTTACATGTCGTTCCCTTCTGGGGACCCAAACTCTGCTATCATGCCAATAAAATGTGTCCTCAAAGCTCCCACTTTCCATAAACTAACGGAGAGCAAGAACGACCACACACACACACACACACACACACACACACACTCACTCACTCACACCAGAAGTCATTGCTAACTCTGCCATTCCTCCCGTGGCCCTTATCCCCACCCTCTCCTGAAATTTTTAATTTGGGTCTGGATGGATGGGAAAGGAATGAGCGTTCTCCACCTACACAGCTTGTGAGGCATTCTAATAAATCCACTTTCTACATAAATGGAGAGATTCATTCTGCAAGTCCTGTTCAGGTAGATAACCTTGAATAATGCAACTGTGTCCTTTTTTTTTTTATCCAACCCAGGGAGGAAGAAGTGCTGGATAACAGTGGTGCTCAGAAGACACTCCTCCCAGCCCCAACATGCTCACAGGACTCAACATTTCGTGAAGACTGCTCTTTTATTATTGTCCATTTGCCAACAATTTGCTCTGAATTTCAGGAATACATCTCTTACAGCAATTGGACCATCTCCCACCTCTCTGATGGGAGAAAGACTTTTTTGTGTGTGATCTAGTTCCTGCTTTTCTTTCCTGGTTGTTTGATGTCCCCATGAAAACCAGGTAAAAAGTACCTCCAGTTCACCTGACTCAGTGTGAAGACACGTAAGTAGCATGTCCTTTGTGTCCTTAAATCTCTCTGTAGTTGTTCATATCCTGGTACCCTTCCACCTGTGTTGCTGGGTCCAGGTATTGTGCAAAGACAGGGGACAGACCACCAAAGTCCATTAGTCCAGAAGCAAACTTTATTGCAGAAAAAGAAAAAAATTCTCAATGGGGTACACAAATCTTATCAGCTCTGGCTGTGACCACAGCCAGAGATCAGGCTTCTGCAGCTGTGGCCGTGGGACTGACTTTGGGCCTCCTCCTCCAGTAACAGTAAAAACTGGGAGTGGAGTGGATCCAAGAGCCTGTACAACCTTGAGGTCAGGCTTAAAGTCACATTGCATTTTAAGGTTTACATCTTTTGGTCATAGAAGTTAACTTATGATGTTTGTGAAAGCCTGTGGCTGACACGGCTGTTTTTCCTTGTCCCTGAAAGAATGCAAGGCAGAGAGTAGAGTCACAGAGGGGGACAGTTAAAAATGAAGGGAATACAAGCAGAGGGTCCTATAGAGGCAATAGTCAAAAGCTAACCATTGTCCCCAGTACCTGCCTTGCTGGAAAGCTGAGAGACAGGAGACAATAGTTTCAAGTTTGCCTCTGTATACAGAGGATGTCAAGATGTCTGCTCTTGAGGCAGAAAGTGTTTGTTAAAGGTCAGCCGTGGTTGAGGCTATTTATTTACTTATTTAGTTTCGCCAAAATATGTTTGGGCTTGCAACTTTATATTTTTCTATACCTTGACTGGACCCTTTATTTCTGTAATTTATTCCTGAAGTCTTCAGTGTGACAGGGAATCACTCCACCCCACATAGTACAGTGGGCTGTACAAGCTAGCTGTCACAAGCTTCCTGCCTATGGAGTGAAGGAAGAGAGCAGGGTCTGCTATCAGAGCCAAGAGCAAGTGCTACTGAAACTTGCATATCTTTGCGGATCCAGAAAAGGTCTGTGTCTGCGGTGGGGGGCATGGCCAGGAACCACAGTGATGCCTCTTTAACCGTACTGTAACCTAAGGGGAGGTGTTCTAGTCTAACTTGCCTCACTAGCCAATCAGACCCTCCAGGCGACCTGCCACTCAGAAGTGTTGAAGGGCCCTTTAGGGTCTCAGGCCTCAGGCTTCAGACTTTGAAGAGGAGACAGCATCATTGGTTTTGTGTGCTGTGCTGCCTTTGCTGCTGCAGGGAGCTGAGCGGAGAGCATTCACCAGCTGGGAAACCACAACATGGTGAGTGAGGGCCTGCTATCCCCAGATGGGGTGGAGCAGATGGGGAGGTTGTGGAGCTAGTTTGGTGGGTCTTCCCCGGATCTGGGTGGAAACCTGCAGTCAGATTCCCTGTCCTGTGAAGCACCATGTGGTCCTTGCAACTTCCTGGACCCAGCCAGGGTCAGGCCTCTGAATAACTTTGTTCTTTGAGCTGAATGTGCTCAGAGCATGGGGATCTGGGAGCTGTGTGTAGAAACTTCTTTGTAGTCAACTTCAACATGCTTTTGGTGTCTCCATGGATAGCTGGATGGCAAACTCCGAGACGCCTACTTTCTCCAGTACCTTCTAGAGGTTCAGCCCTTTGCATTACCCTTTCAGTATAAGATCCATTTATGTTAAATTTTGTGCAGGTTGCAAAAGGTTAACTCTGCACAGAACACACAAATGTTATGCACGACCTGGCCACCCCAGCTTTATCTTTTCTACCTTCTCTGTTCTGTCTTTCTCATCCCTTGTGACCTTCACCTTACGATGTTCTGTTTCAAGTCACTGACTTATTTTAGAAATTATTCTGGGACTATCTTTGCTGTGTAACTCTTCTATCTGCCTAAGTGTGTAGACCGGCCAGTTGCCTGTCTCTGTTGAAATTGTTCAAAGTGTAACATGGAGCCTGAAACCTAAAAGACACTTAAGGATATAGAATGCAGAACCTGTCTAAGGCGGCTCCTCTAGCCAGATTAGCCAGAGATGGATGCGTACCATCCTTAAAGAGAGTTTCTTATTAATCTACTAAGTGTGTGAAGTGATTTCTCAGTGGGAAGGCAAATTAGTTCTGAGCAGCTACATTTTTTTAAAGGGTTGTTTTTTTTTTTAATTTATTATGTATACAGTATTCTTAGTATTCTGTCTGCATGTATACCTGTAGGCCAGAAGAGGGCACCAGATCTCTTTATAGATGGTTATGAGCCACCATGTGGTTGCTGGGAATTGAACTCAGGACCTTTGGAAGAGCAGGCAGTGCTCTTAACCACTGAGCCATCTCTCCAGCCCCGAGCAGCTACATTTTGATTCTGGTAGAAAAATATTCCTGAGACAAGCTCTCTTCTGCTGGCTCTGGTGGCCTTGGTTTCAGTTTGTTGCTCTCCAGGGCAATGGCCTTGCTGTCCTCTATACTATATTAATGTTTAAAACTCTTATATAAATGACTGTACCACCTCAGAGTATGAAAATCATCCATTTGAGTCATGTCATTGATTATCCAGTGCAGTCACAGGAAAAGGGTTTGCATGTGGAGCACTGCTTCTGTCCTCAGACAAAATGGAAGGAATAGTTTACTGTGTGCATTGCAGGGGACACGGGGTAGGCAATCAGCAGCTGGAGTCAACATTGTGACAAAGAACCTGGTTGTGGTAGGGGTGGTGATTTTGTAATTTCTCTGCATGTTTTAATTCATGTCAAGTGATTGAACACGGACAGATTGTGTGAGTGAACGTTTCCGGAATGTTATCTTCAGCCAGTGAGTTTTGAATTTGCAGTTAGGCTACTATCCTATGCGTTCACGTTAATTCTGCTCAACACTGTTATGTCAGCTCCAGAGATTTGTGTAACAGGCCACTGACTGTGACTCTCTGTGTCAGGCTACAGATCTCAGTAGCCAACATATGCGTATGGACAACATCACAATCTAGCTCTTATTAATGACATTTCATCTACTAGGGAAGAACCTATTCTTTTTCAAAATCAATATGGCTAAGGTTTTTTGAATCTTAATATATGTATATTCATCATTTTAAGAATCACATATTGGTATCATTTTTAAATAAGTTCTTTAAGAGCATTACCGCTTATATCTTTATATTTCTGTTTTCCAATGTTTTCAGGTCATTAATATAGTTTTGTTCCTTTCTCCCAAATGATGCTGATTATTGATTTCTGAGGAGAGCACCATCTCCTATATCATAGGGTTGTCTTATGCTATGTAATTGAGAATTGCTATGAACAGCTAATCCTGTCTCTGGTGTCCAGTGCTGGGAAACTCATTTCAGGCTGGGCCTTGACTAGTCAGTAAGAAGGAAAAATGAGCTAATTAATGAGTGACCTCCAATCTCTCTGGCTTTTATTGGACATTTATAGATGAAGAGACACCTGTGCAAGAATTGAGTTCATTGACCAACTTTGAAGCTGGTGAAGTCACAGTCCAGAAAGGGAGAGGCAGGACGGAGGGTGAGAGCTTTCCTCCTTCAACAGTAGTTGAGATTAGAAATGTGGAATTAGGTAATCAATTTTAGGTGCTCCATGAATGTCCTGTTTGGCCATTTCTTGTGATCCACTGACCAGGGCAATCAAGAACCTGAGCAAAGACTGACCTTCTTGTGAAACCAAACCAATTTACTATAGTTACAATAGTTCAACCAAAATAGAAGATCTGGGTAGAATGTTGTGCCCCTGCCTAACAGGACTGTTATTTTTCTGTTTTAACATGTTCAACCTTAGAGAGAGATTATGAGAAACTTTGATGTGCCCTAATACAAATCCCCAGTCTCTGGAGCACATGACCATAAAGCCTGTTTCAACTTTTCAAAATAACTTTTGAGATTATAACAAGATAATCACATTTTCTTTCTGGCCTCCATGCCCTCGGTGACCCCTTATTGTTTTCTAATTCATGGTCTGTAATTCTTTAACAACAGCTACACAGTAACAACAGTTTCTGAGTGAATGTGACCTGAGTTTGTCTGCAGGATTTCCCAGCTCTGAGGCAAAGGGTGGGCTGCACTGGACATTGAGTGTGTAATGGAAGGTGCACACAAAGGGCCCAGTACTTTGCATAAGGAACAGAGTGTGCTCTAGGAGAGAGCAAGAATGTCTACTAACATACACACTTTCTAGACTAGGGTGCTGTCTTCTGGGCTGGAAGGGCAGAGCTAGAAGCATTGTGCTGTCTGAGTCATTTGATCTGATCACCCAGTATGGGAGCTGCTAATATACTGAGATGCAGCTGGGTGGCTTAGCCAATGAAGGATTCTGGGAAGGCTTAACAATCAGGAATACTAGTGGCAGAAAGCTGGTGGGTTCTTTCTGGGATTGTCCTCTGCCTCTGTTGTAGGGAGTTGTGAGGAAGACCACAGCCTTGCTGTGGTGGGTGTAGGGTCTGCTGAGCTGTCATTTCTGCTGAGACTTGGATGGACTTGTTTTCAAAAGTACTTGTGGCTTATAAAGCAATTACAGTAAAATATGTTCCTTTAGGTAAACACTGATTTTTTTTTTAAAAAAAATTCTGTCTTCTTGTAATTTGTTTTAAAAAGTTTTGATTTTCTTACTCTAATACAATCTTAAAGGCAAGCATCAGTCATGGGAAACAAAATGGTGTCTAATTGATCCTAACAGACAGCCCCCTTTTTTGTCATAAGAGAATGAGATCCTTTTATTAGTCAAAACTATTTTCTGCTAAGTTACAATATCAGAAGGCTTCAAGTGAGTCTCTTGAGGTTTGGTGGAACTGCCCTCCTGACCCACCCCATTTTCTGTTATTGATAAAGGAGAAAACTGGAACGTAGAGAATGAGTGCTGGTCAGTGACTTCTTAGAGTTTGATTTTGATTAGAATCTTGTAGTTCCTGTTTAAGAGAACATTATATATATTTATAGGTCTGTGTTTGTGCATTGTTTTAGCTTTCTCTTCTTGATCTTAGTTGCTTGCCTTTTCCCATTTCCTGGCATCCCTGTGCTTTCCAGGCTTTCCAGTTGTTGCCATGTTTGTGTCTTTGTTGCTTAAGTTGATTAATACAGTGGCTTTGGAGCCATCTGAAGGCAAGTCAGTTGAGGATGTGCTTAGATCAGAATGTCTGGTTTCTGAGTCTGAAAGAGATTGTGTTGATTGATGACTGATGTGGGAAGACTCTTCCACTGTGTTAGTAATGTCTCTAAGCGAGTAGGCCTGGGCTGGAAAAGAGAGCTAGCTGAGGACAAGACAATAACAGAGCAAAAGAGAAAACCAGGAAACAATCATTTCATGTGTTTTTTCTTCAGGGATTAATTTGAATTTCTGTCCTAAGCTCCCACAATGATGAACTGTGACTTAGGGGTGACAACCAAAGAAACCTAAGAAACTCATTATCTGAGTTACTTTTGGTAGATAGTCACAGCAAGAGAGAAGAAGGTGCAACAGAAAATGGTACCTCAAAAGGAATTTTGTGCTGCAAAGAACTTGAGAATGTTGACTTTTGGAAGAATGTTGGGTGTATCAGGATTTAAGATGGCAAAATCCATAGAAATCTCTACACAGAACTTAATTGAAAACGAAACAAGCAGAAAGAAATGAAAAGTCTCTGTTTTGTTGAGAAAAACAGCACTAGGTAGTTTCAGATGGCAGTCCAGTGGTGCAAGCGAGGCAGAGATTTTCTAGGATTTTAGCAACATTAAAGGGAAGGTTCTTGCTCTGCATCTAAAGCCAAGTATGTAAGAGTCTATCCAGCTAAACCCTTAGTTTATGGGACGGGTATGCAAAGTAATTCCTTGTTCCAGGAGCAATATCATACAGAACCTGCAACAAATTTGGTCCAAGGTTGGTAGGGTTTATTAAATCTTGGCAGGATCACCTATTCTGGAAACAAGGAAGATGCAAAACATAAAGGTCCTGGATTCTTCTCCTGTGCTCTGTTCATCACTATGTACACTAATTACAATCAGTGATTATTAATATTTTTTTGTATCTGTGAAAGTTAGCTTTGTTACCGAGTATGTGATCAATTTTCGAGAAGGTTCCATGAGATGCTGAGAAGAAGGTATATTCTTTCCTATTTGGGCGGAATGTTCTATAGATGTCTGTTAAGTCCATTTGATTCATTACCTCCATTAATTCTCTTATTTCTCTGTTAGGTTTCTGTCTGATTGACCTGTCCATTGGTGAGAGAAGAATGTTGAAGTCTCCTACTATTAGTGTGTGTAGTTTGATGTGTGCCTTGAGTTCTAGAAGTGTTTCTTTTACATAAGTGGGTGCTTTTATATTAGAGGCATAGATATTCAGTATTGAGACTTCATTCTGATGAATTGTTCCTGTTATGAGTATGAAATGTCCATCTCCATCTCTTCTGATTGATTTTAGTTTGAAGTCAATTTTGTTAGAAATTAGTATGACCACACCCATTTGTTTTTTAGGTCCATTTGATTGAAAAACCTTTTCCCAACCCTTTACTCTGAGTAGATGTCTGTCTTTGTGGTTGAAGTGTGTTTCTTGTAAACAGCAGAATGTTGGATCCTGTTTTCGCATCCAATCTCTTAGCCTGTGCCTTTTTGTAGGTAAATTGAATCCATTGATATTAAGTTAAATTAATGACCAGTGGTTGTTAACTCCAGCTATTTTTTCTTCTATTTTGGTGGTTGAGTTTGTGTGTTTTCCTTCTTTGAGTTGTGCTGGTGAAGGGTTGCTAGATGTCTGAGTTATTGTGGGCATTGTTGGATTCCTTGGGTTGTGATTTTCCTTCTATTACTTTCTGTAAGTCTGGATTTGTGGCTACATATTGTTTAAATTTGTTTTTATCCTGGAATATTTTTTTTCTCCATTGATAGTGAACGAAAGCTTGGCTGGGTATAGTAATCTGGGCTTGCATCCATGGTCTTTTAGTTTCTGCAGCACATCTACCCAAGACCTTTTGGCTTTCATGGTTTCCATAGAGAAGTCAGGTGTAAGTCTGATAGGTTTACCTTTATAAGTTACTTTGCCTTTTTCCTTTGCAGCTCTTAGTATTCTTTCTTTATTCTGTATGTTTTGTGTTTTGATTATTATATGGCGAGGGGATTTTTTTTTGATCCAGTCTATTCAGTGCTCTGTATACTTCTTGAACCTTCATAGGAATATCTTTCTTTAGGTTGGGAAAGTTTTCTTCTATAATTTTTGTTGAATATATTTTCTGGGCCTTTGAGCTGTCATTCTTTTCCTTCTTCTACCCCTATTATTCTTAGGTTTGGTCTTTTCATGGTGTCCCAGATTTCATGGATGTTTTATGTTAAGAATTTGTTGGATTTGCTGTTTTCTTTGATCAATGAGTTTATTTCCTCTATAGTATCTTCAGCGTCTGAGATTCTTTCTTCTATCTCTTGTATTCTGTTGGTTATACTTGTCTCTGTAGTTTCTGTTCGTTTACCTAGATTTTCCATATCCAGCCGGCCCTCGGTTTGTGTTTTCTTCATTGCCTTCATTTCAGTTTTCAATTCTTGAACGATTTCCATTACCTGTTTGATTGCTTTGATAGAGAAAATAAATGCACTGATCAAAGAAAACAGCAAATCCAACAAATTCTCATCACAAAACATCCAGGAAATCTGGGACACATTACATGTTTTTAAATGCTATTGACAAGGAAACAACAGGTCCCTAGATATTAGATAATAAAAATAACCCTGCTAAATTAAATCAACCTGTACCCTTTAAAGATATGTTCACCCCAGAATATAAACCATGATCCATGTTACATTTGGTAAGAGGTTTTGCTTTTGTTTCCAGAGGGGATAAACTATAGATACTGTCAAAATTGATAAAGGTTAGATTCTAGCAAAACAGATTTCTTTATTCAAAGAGAATAGTTCATCAAATAGCCTGACTGTTCCATCTAATCTAGCTTATAAAAGTAACAATTGTTTTTCATTTGTTAAAACATACTTGCCAAAAATAATACTTGCCAAAGGTAGGACTGAGGTAGGGTTTTCCTTTGTTTTTACAAAAAAAATAGAGACATTCATCCAGCTAAGGAATCTAAAGCCCACTGGACAAATGAGACATGTAAAAAAGTAATAAAGCATCGAAAAATGTCCTCCCCAGTAAGAAATTGATCTATTGTTGTATCACATTTCCAACAGTATAACCTTACTGAAGTCTTCCCTATTATTTGTTTCTGCTGTTCTCTTCAGACACATTAGACAAATATTGTTTTTAGAGTCTCAGTTAAATTAAAAAATTAGAGCTAGCATTTTAATTGGAACCTGGTTCTTGCCTCTAAAGTGAAACATGCTTGTTAAAGGAATTGAGCCATGTGGTGGTGGTTCATGCCTTTAATCCCAGCCCTTGGGTGGCACAGGTAGGTGGATCTCTGTGAATTTGAAACCAGCCTGGTCTACTGAGTTAGTTTCAGGATAGGCTGTTACATTGAGAAACCCTGTCTTGGAAAACCAAAAGGAAAAAGAAAATTGAAAATCTCTCTGTCTCATGTCAAAAAAGCCATCTTACATGGAGCAGAAGAAAAACCAAAAGTAAGAGACTATCCTGTTGCCACTAATCTGATAATACTTTGGTTTAATTTTAACTCTTCAAAACTTTTCTTAAGGTATGAATATTTTCCAAAATTTATTAAATTTATGCATATATAAATATACATATTAAAGTTTCTGTCATGATATTAATGGTTATAGAGAGTACTAACTAATTCTAAAAATAGGCTTCTTCTAACTACCTGTCCATGATTTCAGGTTTAAGTTTTATCAGGTAACTAAAAATTAAGATTATGTACTCTGGATGTAGATAACAAATTATGGCTCTTTAACATCTTTGAGGTTTACTACATATAACATTTAAATCTCTATCTTTTGTACAGTTAACTGTGATCATTCTCAACAGTGAGCTTTAAAGGTTCCAAAAGGATAATAGGAGCCCACAACAATGATTTCATCTGGATTGTGTTAATGCCACTAAACTAACAACACCACCCAAAGATCATCATTTGACTATAAACTACTCATGACAATTTCAGGCACCTACCTAAGATGATCGGCATATGCTACTCTAGCTAGGACTTGAGATAAGTCCTATACTTTCTCATTACACAAAGACTGGACAACAAATAATACAGCTAACTCTCCCATGACTTGATAAATATCCCAGTTTTTTCAGGGTCTCCTAAAGATGTCATTTTCCACAGAGTACAAACACGATGTCCACATTCCAAGAGCTGAGGTGAGCAGGTTTTGCTCATTCAGTAGGTTTGTCTTTATTTGTCATGTCTGTCATTGATTAGGGGGCTTGGTTTTTTGACAATGGTCAAAAAAATCTAAACAAAGGAGATTACATTCAGGGATCTTGTTCTGTAAAGGAAAAGGGGAGATATAGAAATGATAGGAAAAAATATAGGTTATTAAATCTACTTTTCTACCAAAGGTATACCAACTACTAATTTTAAATATTTTACATTGTATTGATTTTTGTACATTAATATGAATTTGAGGTTATTTTTGTTATTCTATATATATGTTTCTACTCCTCTTGTTTAAGGTATTGTACTTATACAACTCATTTAACAATGTAATATAAACTTCTAGTCCTAAAAGTTATTATTCAAAACATTAAAAATAATAAAAAATATACAGGTTAGTAGTTAGTCATTTATTATAATCAAACTCATAGATATTTACAAGGTGAAACCAAAATATGTTTTATGTTTATTCTTAATACCTTTTGTGTTTTTGAGACAAAGTTACTCTCTGTAGCTCTGTCCTGGAATTGACTTTGTAGACCAGACTGGCTTTGAAGTCATTTAGAGCCTCCTGCTACTGCCTGGGATTAAAGATGATCCTGGCCAAAAATACATTTTAAATAGATAGAATGTCTCACCACTTCAGAGATCTATAAAATATAGCATTTTAGATGTTTTAATAATATAAGGCTTTTCATGATAATGAGACATGCCTGCTCCTAACAACATCAATTTCCTTAAGAAAAGATGATGATCATCAAAGTAACTCCATATAGAGCTTAATTTCTTGTTGACAAAGTTGGCCACTGGGCAAGAAACTGCCTTTGCCTAATTACTGAGAGAATGCTGTCCAAATTAGATAAACAGGACACAAATGAAAGTGACTACCAAACTTTCCAAGACAAGTTAGGACAGTCTTTTAAAATTCCTGCTTCACAGGAAAGTCTTATTTTATCTTGTTCTACCTTCTTCTTCCTGTTACAAACATTCCCAGGTATATATATCCTTAAAATCAGGAATTCCCCAGCCTTAGCAGGATCCAGTATCAGGATTCTGTTGCCCCATAACAAATCAGATAAGAATTTTCACACACACACACACACGGGGTGGGGGGGGGGAGAAAGAGTGCTGGGGGACTAGCTAGTACATGTGTGGTAAGCTCCTTAATGGAGAAAGTTAATAAATTAATTAAATCACTAGGGAATTTTAGAGGGGCAGGTTAATGTGCTTCGTTAAATTTTTAGGTAGGAGAAAAACCTAGAAGTTTATTTTCAGTAAAATTATGAATAGGGCGTGGATTGTTTAAATCAGCACACCACTTTTTTTCTCCCACCATACATAGAATGGGTAAACAAGAAACCTAAGTAAATGTTCATGAGGAAGCTAATAGCTCTTGAATCTGATACCACATACACCAGATGCTGTAATTTGTACAGTCTGAGGTTTGGAGTTAGTCTTACTGCTCTAAGCAAAGAAGAGACTCAGACCTCTATCGTTAACTCTGGGCTAGGCTGTTATCAGCCGGTCTGATCGTGGGTGTTGGGGATCTTTCTCTGATTTTCAGTTAATTATCTCTTCTGCTGTCCTTGAGAGTAAGACAGAAGCTTTAAATTTCCTGAACTAATGTCATCAGTAAACTGAGGTAAGGTGACCATAAGGAGTCAGGTCCTTTTGAGGGAGGTAAAGCCAGGGCATTCTTATTCTTCTATCTGTCTGAGCCGCTATGATTCAGCCACTTTAGTTATGCAGTAATTCTGTGTCCTTGGATATCTGTTAATATCTTAAATGCTGTGCTCTTGTCTTTACCCTAAGTACTGATCGAATAATTAGCTGCCTGTTGACAAAGATAATTTCAGGAAGGCAGATCTGAGTTTACTTAGTAAACTGAGCATGCATGTCTACATCTTAGAATGCAGTGACCTATGATGATGTGCACATCAACTTCCCTTGGGAAGAGTGGGCTTTGCTGGATCCTTCTCAGAAAGAACTCTACAAAGATGTGATGCTGGAGACCTACAGGAACCTAAATAGTATAGGTAAGACTCAATTTTCCTTTAGGTTTTAAAATAAGGGAACAACTATTTCTTTATTGATGCTCTTTTGTAATTTGATTGAGAGAGAGAAGGATGAGGTAAATGATGAGGTATAGTTTTAAGGTTTATTGAGGATAGCAACTTAAATTTTAGACAATTTTTGTAGTATAACATACATTTTCTGATATTATGTTTTAGGATATGACACGGAAGATCATAATGTTGAAGAAAATTATCAAATTTCTAGAAGACAAGCGAGGTAATTTTCATGTGCAAGCAGATACAAATGTGGCTCTGAAGAGATTGTAATGTGTCCTGGAAGTTTTCAGCTAAAGCAACAGTGTAAATAACCACAGCTTAAAGTTCATTGACGATTAATAAACTCTCGCAAAACCATATACCTCCATTTAGGTAGGAGAATTGAATCTGAGAGGCATTTTTTAAGAAAGAAGACAGAGGATAGCGCCTTAATAGATGTCACCATTTAAATCATAGTACCATGAGAGCTGTGCTGTAGAACTGCCCATTGCATCTGTTTCAGGCTACTCATGTTACAAAGGATAACACATTGAAGCAGAGACAGATATATCTCCAACCCGTCTAATAAGGAAATGTTTCACAGTCAAGCTAGTGTTACTCTTATAGTTGTGACTGTGCTATGATAATGAAATGGTCAGTTAGAATCAAGAGTCAAGGTGCAGCTGTTGCAGAGAAACCTTAATCACTACACTATGAGTCTCTGAGGAACAGAAAGTCAAACTGTGTAAATTCAATCTGTAAACCTTTTACTTTTTTATCTTTTCTTTACCAGTTATATCATATGTTACTCTGAATACATGTCATATGAGCACAGGGATATGCAAAGATGTAAAAGACCTGTAGTAGGAGGACTCTTACCTGTAGTAGGAGGCTGCTTATTCTTTCCCAGCTCCCCATATCACAAAATAACTCAGAAGCAATATGACTTAATTCACTGCTTTGCCAATAACTTAACCATATTACTAGCCACCTCTTACATCTAGGACTAGCCCATTTCCATTATTTTATATTTTATTGTTACAGTGAGGCCTACAAGCAAGGTCCAGTAGGCAGCTTACATCTTTTCTGTAACATGAGGGCTGGCTTGTTGGGGTTTCTGTCCCGCCGGTTCCCCACAGCCGGCAAGCACCAAAGAAAATCACACACAGAGGACTCCATAAGATTATAAACTGATTGGCCCTTAGTTCTGGCTATTTATCAGCTCTTATAACACATATACCCCATTATCCTTATCTACGTTAGCCACATGGCTCAGTATCTTTTCTAGCTGGGCAGCTCACATGTTGCTTCTTTGGTAGTCTGGGCTGGACTGCAGAGGGAGCTTCCTGCTTCCCAGAATACTCCTAGTCTCTTTGCTCCACCTCTATTTCCTGTCTGGCTTTCCCACCTATACTTCCTGCCTGGCCAATCAGCGTTTTATTAAAATGTGACTGACAGAATACAGACAATTCTCCCACATCACTTTTCTCTCTGGGATCTCCACGGTACCTCCCTGACTCTGCCTGCTTTCTCCAAGTATTCAGTTTAGTTTCCCTACCTAACTTTACTCTGCCCTATCACAGGCGAAGGCAGATTCCTTATTCATTAATCAATAAAAGCAGCAAATATACAGAAGGACCTCCCATACCACATTCTTCTCTCACAGAACAATTGGAAGACAAGTAGCAAGCAGTCCTCACGTTGAGCATACGTTCAGTATTTCATTCAAGTATACAGGTGATTGGTTTTCCAGCTTCATTTTTAATCCATCAACAAGCTCATATTGAATAACAGGCATATGAGTACTCTGACTGTGTAAATACCCCTGGTTGTCCCAGCTTACTTAACAAGTGTAGTATGACTCAGAGTATAAGAAAATTTGTGGATACCATAAGTGTGGAAAAGCACTGAGATTTTCCAATTCTGTTCACATGTATGATAGACCTTACGTAGAGAAAAGTTTCTCTAAAGGTGAACCATGTAATAAAGGTATCCTCAAAGATGCAAATCATCTTTTAATGAAGGGAAAGAACATGAGTTTAAAGAGTGATAAATTCTTAAAGTCTAATTCTTCTTAAGAATTGGACCAAATTGTGAAATTAGTTCATACACATATAAAGATTCAACATTTGTATGGAATGTGGTAAAGCTTTTACATGTGCCAATTATTCTTATAGGAACTATAGAAACCAAACTGGAGAGAAACCTACTGAATATACTCAATGTGTTGAAGCCTTTGCATATGGCTTTCATCTTCAAAGGCATGAAAAACCACATACTAGAGAGAAACCTTATGAATGTAATCAGTGTGGTAAAGCCTTTTCTTTTCAAAAATATCTTCAAAGGCATAAAAGAACACATACTGGAAAGAAACCTTATGAATGTAATCAGTGTGATAAAGCCTTTGCACGTCACAGTTCTCTTAAAAGTCATAAAAGAACACATACTGGAGAAAAACCCTATAAATGTAATCTGTGTTGTAAAGCATTTGCAGTTCAACATACACTTAAAATCCATAAAAGAACACACACTGGAGAAAAACCCTATGAATGTAATCTGTGTGGTAAAATGTTTCATTATCACTGCCGTCTTCAAATGCATCAAAGAACCCATACTGTAGAGAAACCTTATGAATGTAATCTGTGTGGTAAAGACTTTTCTTTTCAAAAATATCTTCAAAAGCATAAAAGAACACATACTGTAAAGAAACCCTATGAATGTCATTTGTGTGGTAAAGCCTTTGCCCAGCAGAGTCATCTTCAAAATCATAAAAGAACACATACTGGAGAGAAGCCCCATGAATGTAATCAGTGTGGTAAAGCCTTTGCACATCAGGCTTCTCTTAAAAATCATGAAAGAACACATACTGGTGAGAAACCCTATGAATGTCATCTGTGTGGTAAAGCCTTTGCCCAGCAGAGTCATCTTCAGAGTCATGTAAGAACACATACTGGAGAGAAACCCTATGAATGTAATCAGTGTGGTAAAGCCTTTTCACATCACACTTCTCTGAAAAGTCATGTAAGAACACATACTGGAGAGAAACCCTATGAATGAAATCAGTGTGGTAAAGCCTTTGTATATCACAGTTATCTTCAAAAATCATGAGCAAATGCAAACTGGAGAGAAACCCCTTGAATACAATCCATGTGGTAAAGTCTTTGCATGTCAAAGTGTTCTTGGAATGCATAAAAAACCACAGAGTGGAACCAAAGCCTATGAATGTAATGTGTGTGTTACAGTCTTTGCAAATAACAGTCATCCTCAATGACATAAAAGAACAAATACTGAAGAGAAACCCTCCAAATGTAATCAGTGTGGTAAAGCCTTTGCCCATTACACTCTTCTTCAAATGAATAAAAGACTCATACTTAAGCGAAACTCTGAGTGCAGTCAGTGTGGTGAAGCCTTTGCTTATCACAGTCATATTCAAAGGCATAAAAGAACGCAATCTGAAGAAAAACTTTATTTAATCAATGTGGTTAATCCTTTTTCTCATAATAGTCATCTTCAAATGCATAAAAGAACACATACTTGAGAGAAATCTTATGTATTTCATCAGTGTAGTCTTCAAAATCATGAGAAAAAGTCATCTAATTTTGAAGCTTCATAAATGTACTCAGTTTAGAAAAAAGGTTTTCAGGGGTAAAATTTTTGTGTACATTCAATTTGATAAAGACTTTGCATATTACGATAGTCATTGTTACCTAGAAAGGATACTGATGGTTTCTTATCGTAAAGTATTTGGTAAGATCTTTTGCCAATATTCTTACTGTGCTGATATTTTGTTTGTGCTTTAACATGTAAAGCTTACCTGAAGGTCAGAGTGCTGTGATAGACTTTAGTTAGTCACAGAGCACAGGCAGTGGTGACACACACCTTTAATCCCAGCAGTCAAGAGGCAAGGGCAGGTGGTTCTCTGTGATTTCAAGGCCACCTTGGGCTATGCTAGATTGACCAGTCTAAAAGAAAAGCAGCAGGCAGTCATGGCTCACATATTTAATATTGAAATTTGTAAACCACGTGCCATTAATTCTAGCACGAGGGAGGTGGAACCAGGATGATAAATGACTTGGTAGAGAGAAGAGCATAAGGCAGGAGGAGAAAGGAGATCAGCCCATTAAGACTGAGGATTTGTAGAGACAGGGTCTTCCCCACTTTGTTTTGAGGATTCGGTAAAGGTAAATGGCATCTCTGATGGCTTGCCCCTTTATTTCTGTGATCTTTCAGCCTTTACCCTGATATCTGAGTCCAGGTTTATATTACTAAGACTAATTAGAAATTGTGCTACGACTTACAATGAGTTAAGTAACAGAATTTTTCTGTAGAAAAAAATTGACAGTGTCAACAATCTCTTCAGGGATTATGATGTCCGTTTTTATATTGTGTTCACTGTGAAGCTCATAGGAAAAATGAATTTATGAATTTTGATACCTTAGGTGTAGGCAAATAGCTAGCCATAGGAATACATTCTGATCTTGAAACCAGGGCCAAGGAAACACTCTTTGCCCCTGAATTCCGTGCCAGTAAGAGAATCACACTCTACCTTTGACCAACTGAAAACAAAATCAATCACTCTCTATGCTTGAAACCAACCAATCCCTGAACATGAAATCCAGCCAATCTCTGAATTTGTTCTAGTTGAGCAATTTCTGTCTGACCAATCCCCACCCTGATAATATTATCCCTGGAAAATCTCTGCCCTAAGCAACTCTATATAAGCCCTGTGATTGCTGAGTTGGCAGCTGCCCCTTTCTACACTGGCAGAGGCAGTCACTTTCCTGGATTCCTCCCTCCCAGATAAATCTTTTGAGTGAGTTTTAGGTAAAGATCTTTTGTATATGGAGTGGATCAGAACCTCCCTAGTGGAATGGAGTAAAGAAACAATGGCAGCTCTGCTGGGAAACTCCCCTAGTGGAGCAGAGCATAAGTAACAACTTTCTGCCACAGCCGGAAGAGAGTGCTAGGTTTCCCCAGTGTTTCCCTCTTCATTGAGTGAAGTAGAGGTGTAACAGTTTGGGATGGAGCTGAGAAGAAATGGACTTATCTGCTTGGGAGCAGAGCAGCAGTAGACATCACTGCTGAGAAACTCAGCAGAGTGGAGCAGAGGCCAGCTGTAATGACTTTCTCATAGATGTACCAGATTGCTTCGTCCTACAGGGAGATTATTCCCCACTGGAACACAACTTCAGTATAACTGGTCTTCTTCACAGTCAGGATTCCTTTCTCCTTACAGATGTAGATATCCAGGAAACCTTCCCTTCACAGCCATAAGTCTATTCTGATTTTTATCTGGCATGGACCCTTTCTTTTCAGAGCTGTAAGTATTCATGATACCTTGCCTGCCACAGACCGGCTCCATGGAGCCACTCAGACCGTGGGAGAAGCAGGGTCTTGGTACTCAGGAAGGCACGAGGTCAGCGATGACAGACAGACACAACACACAAGGGAGTGGTTTGGATCTCCTGCGATTTTACTGAGTTCATGTTTTCATTATATAGTATTCAAACAAGGAACAAATCAGAAGGCCGTGTATCATTAGTTGGCACAGTATGAAAGCTTCTTTTAGTGACATCAGCGATTTTTAAGAAAAACATATTATCAGGAACAGGTGTTAGACATAAAACATCCATTGAAGAGGAACTCTTGTCCCTGGGATCATAAATCTCAGACAAGTGGTTTCATCTTATCTAAGAATAGAAAGTTTCTATCTCATTATTGCTTTCATGGCAAAGCTCCTCTTTCTAACCCTTTCTTTATCTCATCTAGTGACCAAAGATGCCTGACAGCTCTCTGTACCTGCTGAAATATAGTTTTTTGTACCTTCTTATGCAGCAGACACCATGGGGGTCGGTATCTAGCAAGCCTATCCAGAAAATTCAAAATATAATATAACACTCTTTGTCCATAAACATTAACCCATCTATTCCTTGCTTATCATAACTCCTGTGTTTGACAAGGGTTCTGCTGTAGTCTTATACATTCCCATACTGTGCTTCCCTATCCCAGTACTGTTCCTAAAGAGATAATCCTTGTCTTGTAGATATTAAGAATATCATTATTATATAAAAGAGATTGTGCAAAGCCCATATCCCGCATAGCCAGCTAATCGAGAAACACATCTATGCTTCAACAGTGGCCAATACCAGGCCATCTGCCATTGACCTCCAGGAAGCCTAGTCCCATAGGGCACGTAGCTCCCATCCGGCATAATGACGTAAGTCATGTCACACAGACGACACTGGAGTTGGTGTGGCACTTTTCCCCACAGCTTCAGGTATAGCCTGATTTCCTATAGCCAGGAAAACTTTCTCCTCACATCTGTAGGTATCCAGGATATCTACCCTGCACAGTTATAGGTATAGCCTGACTTCCAACAGTCAGGGCACCCTTCCTTCCAGAGCTGTCACACCTATGCTATGAATTTAAGTGACAATGTAACCCTGTTAGAATTTATACTTCCATTGCTGCTGAGAATGCAAACTTGTGCAACCACTTTGGAAATCAGTGTGGTGGTTTCTCAAAAAATTGGGAATCAACCTACCTCAGGATTCAGCAATACAACTCTTGGAAATCTACCCAAGAGATACTCAATCATATTACAAAAGCATTTGTTCAACTATGTTCATAGCAGCATTATTTGTAATAGCCAGAACCTGGAAACAACCTAGATGCCCCTCAGTGGAAGAATGATAAAGAAAGTGTGGCAATCTACACATTAGAGTACTACTCAGCATTAAAAAGAAAAAACAGTGACATCTTGAATTTTGCATGCAAATGGATGGAAATAGAAAACACTATCTTGAGTGAGATAACCCAGACCCAAAAAGATGAATATGGTATGTACTCACTTATTAGTGGATTCTAGCCATAAACAAAGAACATTGAGCCTACAGTTCACGATCCTAGAGAAGCTAAGTAGTAAGGTGAACCCAAAGAAAAAATATATAGGTCCTCCTGGAAATTGGAAGCAGACAAAATCTCTAGGCAAAAGTTGGGAGACTGGGGGTGGGAATGGGGTGAGGGGAAAGGAGGAGGGGGAGAGAGAATGGAGAAGGGGAGGGTTGGGGAGAGCTTGGAGTAGTGGGATGGTTGAGATGAAGGAAGGATGGATATGGAAGCAGGGAAGACGATATCTTAATTAAGGGAGCCATTTTGGAGTTGTCAAGAGGCTTAGCTCTAGTGGGGTTCCCAGCTGTCCATGAACATGTCCCCAGCTAGGACCCTGGACAGTGGAGGAGAGGATGCCTGAACTGGCCTTGTTCTGTAGTCAGACTGAAGACTATCTTGAATATCACCATAGAACCTTTGTCTGGCGATGGATGGAGATAGAGACAGAGACCCACATCAAAGCACTGGACTGAGCTCCCAAGGTCCAGTTGAAGAGCAGGAGGGAGAATATGAGGAAGGAAGGCAGGACCACAAGGGGTTGGTCCACCCACTGAGACAGTGTGCCTGAGCTAATGGGAGCTCACCAAATCCAGTGGACTGGGACTGAATGAGCATTGGATCAAACTGGACCCTCTGAATGGGGCTGACAACTGGGGCAGACTGAGAAGCCAATGATAAAGGCACTGGGATTTTTCTCTACTGCATGTACTGGCTTTTGGGGATCCTATTCTATTTGGATGCACACCTTCCTAAGCCTGGATGGAGGGGGGAGGGCCTTGGACTTCCCACAGGGCAGGGTACCCTGTCCTCTCATAGGACTGGAGGAGGAGGGGAGAGGGTGAATGGGGAAGTGGGAGGAGGGAGGAAGTGGAAAATTTTGAATGCTATTATTTATAAAGTAATAAAAATATTAGAAAAAACAAAACAAACAAAAAAGAATTTATATGTCTCTTCATGTGAATGAAATAGCTATTTCAGGTGTAAAACTATGGGTTCATATTATTTTCTTTTCCCTTATTGTGATATAACACATGTCAACATGTAAAAGTTTAATTTGGTCCTAGGTTCCAGAGAAATACAAGATCATGATGACAATGTCATGGCTGCAAGTTTCAGACATGGCAACGAAAGCTGGAGGCTAAGAACTCACATCCTTAACCTGAAGCATGAAGCAGAGTGGGAACTGGAAATTCTGTGTGGATGTAAATTCTCAGAGCTTATCCCCAGGATATATTTCTTTTAGCAAGGCAGATTTCAGGCAAATGATGGTTAAAGACTCTAGACATCAAAAATTTCTTTAGTTTAAGAAAAAAATAACTTGATTAATCTTATTTTCTTCATAGCCTTGAAGGAAGTAGATTACCATCTTCATTGAAGCCCACTGGTAGAAATAAATATGTTGTGGCTTCTATTTTGCAACATTTGAGGTAGATAGTAAAGTATGCCATATGTGGCAAATCCACTAGAGTATATTTTATGGGCCATATATT